TCTCTAGCGAATGACTGTGACTTGTTTTAAACATGGAGTGGTTCAACCATTGCTACAAAAGCATAACCTAGACCCCCCCCCAACTGACTCTCAGGTAAAGGAAAGCTGGAAAAATATCAGTTCTCGGCCCTTGAGGACCGTGATTTGAATAGTCCTGACCTAGACCAAACACTTCCAAATAGTCATTGACCCATTTTGAAACTTCATTTTGTAAAAAAAAATCACAAATCACAGGTTTCCAGTTACCTTGAACAATATTTCGTTACTGATAAATTTCAATCTGATTTCATAGCATAGTACTGAATCAGCCTTACACAGTGACAAATGATTTATTGCTCTCTATTGTCAGTGGATCATCTGTTTTAATTCTACTTGATCCGAGTGTGGCTTTTGATACTGATGATCATTGATAGTGTTAGTTATGCTGTAGGTATCCGGGGAACAGCCTTAAAATGGTTTTGATCTTATTTGGAAGGAAGGTCTTTTTCAGTCAGTACAGGTAAAGATATTTCACCCACAGTTCCTTTTCAGTGTGGGGTGCCACAAGGATCTATTTCAAGCTCTCACCACATTACTCTGTAAAAGCTTCCTCTAGGCTTCTATCATGAAGCTTGTTAAACAAATAAATGCTGTTATTTTTTCTTCTTCAATTAAGGACAATAGCCAGGCTTACCTTTCAGTTAAAGATCTGGAGACAGTTACTTACACTTTTATCTCAACCCAATTATATTACTGCACTTCTCTGTACCTTGGCTTGCCACTAGCATCTTCATCTGAGCTACAGTTTGTTCAAAATGCTCTTAAGAAAAGGGACTGAATATTACCTGTATTGGCTGCATTATATTGACTCTCTGCTCTGTTAACTGAGTTTAAAGTTTTATCATTTGTTTTTAAGGCATAGGTCCCCAGTACATCTCAGAGCTTACTGGGCTTTATACTACTTCTCTTCATCTTCGATCAGCCAATTATCAATTTCTCTGCATTCCACAGGGATGCATGAAATCTAAAGTTGACTAGGCCTTTGTCATTGATACACAGCATATATATATAACTGAAGCTGATGTTTTGCAAAGCCTAGCTTAGCTCAAAATAAATAAATCACAGGGCCCTGATGGCATCTTACCTATAGTGTTAAAAGAGAAGAGGGGTATTATTTGCCGACCCTTAACATTACTGTTTCAAAAATCCTTATCTGAAGGTGTGGTACCTT